TAATAAAAAAAATAATAATAAATAAAATTGTAAATAATATCCACATCGAAAACCTGTATTTTTACAAATGTCAAACATTTGACTGTAAAATTACATCATTTTTTTTACAGCATTTAAATCAGCAAAACTATATTTGCTGTTATTTGGAGGAATAAAGTGCATTATGGATAATAAAATATGTGGTTTTTAGAAGGTATTTTAAATGCTAAATTTATATTTAAATAAAATATAAATTATAAAAAAAATTAAAGATGGTAATATGTTCTTTTATGATGCATGACTGTAAAATTACAGTTGTACTATATTTGATAAAACATCGTTTTTTACTGATATTTGCTGTTTTTTCTGCAGGTTTTACAGGTTTTGAAGGTTTTACAGCGTTCCACTGTTCCACCTTTGCTGTCAGATTTCTTTTTCACACATTTTTTTTTAAAAAGTGTATTAAATGTCATAAATAGAGTTAGACTAGATATGATTTGATTTATTGTTATTAAGTACAGGTACTGAATAAATATAACAAATACATCTAGCCTCCTCATCCTCATCACCAGGTCAGAGAGAGGTTTTAAAAACTGAGTTCTCAAAACTGTCAGTGACAAACAACAAACTCAGAGCACAGAGCCACTGACACTGACTTACCTGTCCAATCTGACGCAACAGAAACAGAGCATAAGTCACCCTGTAACCTTTGTAATCACAGTCGTCTCTTCAATGAATGCACCACGTTCTGCAACCCTCGAAAACATCAGCAATGTGCAGTTTAATAACAGACATAACCTGGCACCTGTTCCTGGACCGCAGTGTTTAGCTAATCAGGTGACGCCAGACATGATCTGTGTTTTGTCACATAAGACAAAGAAAAGCAGCAATACGTAGACATTTGTAAAGCTGGAGAACAGTGAACATTGCATCTTGCATTTTGACTTAAACAACATATCCGTCCATCATCTTTACACCTCTTCATCCTCTGTTGGGTCATGGGGGGCTGGAGTCTATCCCAGCTGACTGAGGGTGAAGGCAGGTTCACCTGGACAGGTAACCAGTCTGTCACAGTACTAGTGAAAATGTCCAGTGAATGAAAATCTGTCCTTTAGATTAGTCCTTTTGACTGATTATTTCACTGTCCTGACACTCCACCACACAGACAGCACTATCTACCACAAAGTGGCCAAATTCCGTTACCACGCCGGTACAAATAGCCTAACTGGACCCCAAGCAAGAGAACTGGCAACATTTCACTGCTGCCATGCTTTCTGTCTGCTTTGTCTAAGCCTGGCAGCTCACTGCAAACCAAATCTAATTTGGCGTGCTCTCAAACTGCTGTTGAATACAGAGCTGCAGGCTGACGCCGGTGCACTCGCACAAACTCCACGTCTGTTCCCTCTGTGGCTTCCACGCCTGATCTTGTGTCGCAGAGGGAGCAGAGAAGGTAAAATTCAAATCGCCGCAGAGCTGAGAAATGCATTTGCACACTTTCAATCAAGCCAAATGTGGCGTGACTTTTTAATCATAAACCTGCGTTTTTGCAGTATGAATGCACCAAATCCTTTTGTGCTCAGACTGTACTCGGAGCCTTTAAGCGTCACACCGTGTCCCTCCTTTCCCTCCTCCTCTGCCTCTTTTACAAGAGGTCACCACCCCGCGGGTCCTGGAAGAGAGGTGAGAGTTTACACTGGGAGGCCAGGCGGGATTCCCAGGCCCGCTAAACATGCCTGAACCACGGAGACGCTGCCTGGAAGTTTATCTGATGGACAACAATGGTGCTGCTGCTCAGTGTGAGGGAGACAGACAGAGACAGACAGAGGAGGGAAAACAGGGAGAGGATGATAAAGCCATTTCAGAAAGAAGGTCAAGAGACAGAGATAGAGATAGAGACAAGCGTTAAGGGAAGTCAACAACTCTAAACACACACGCTACTCACTAGCATCTATCTCACCTGTGTAATCACACATAAATACACGCTGCAGCATTAAAAGTTACATCCAAGCTGCTGCACAAACACCCTGCTGTAGACATCTCCTCTTCAATCACAGCGTCCTGGGTGAAGCACCCTATCATCACCACAGCTAAATAAAACATCCACTTTGTGACCTGTGTATATCTGAGTGTGTGTGTTGGGCAGAATCTGATGCAACGTCTGTGGAGATTGGCACAACTCTGAGAGCAGCATCCAGGGGTCCTCCAGAACGGTTTAATGGAGTCTTGGTTCAATTTTTACAATCAATTCCCTCCCTGGAAGCTAATTTAATGATGTACAATAGAGGAGAGGTCTCACTCTGTGCAATGTTCCTGCTCCAGGATACAGTTATGTAATTCTTAAATAAATCATATCTATCTACAGAGCCCTCGCAAGTCGGGCTTTCTAAGGACATGATCTTATTAAAGGCTTAAGGGGTCAATTCAATGGAATAAAAAGAGGAGAAAAAAACATTTTCTCACTATCTTCTCACTTGGAATGTGGCCACGGAGTTAGAGAGTTGTGCTGCCACCCAGTCCGGTGGAGGTCAAAGGGATTTTATTTGAGGTTTCAACATGAGCATCTGTTTTCTGTCCCACTGGATCATCCAGAGAACTCCGTCAGCAGTTTGTAGTTTGACCATTTCTCGGTGAGACAGCAGATGCAACTTTTTAATAAAGCAAGGTCAACAAATACAAATTCAGTTCAACTTGACTGAACTGGTTTGGGTGCAAAAGTTGTTTTTTTTTTAATTTGCGTGACCGGATCATTTAACCGTACAGTAGTTTGATGTGCTGGAGAGACAACATCCAACACTGACTTCAACTGTCTCATCATCTGTGATTTTCTGATCCACCAGTGAACCATTTGTTTTATAAAATGTCAATAAGTGGAAAAAAAAGTCTCATTTTGTCTGACAAAATATCAAAACCCCAAACATATTCAGTTTATTATGACAAACGAATACAGCTGAGCTGGAGAGCATTTGGTGTTTATTAAACTATTTTTACTTGAAAAACTAAAATGATAAACAGTGAAGAAGGCTACAGACTGTCTTCCATCAATCTCCTCCTTGATTAAACAACTAATTACCCACTGATCAAACCTTCAAAACACTGACAGAGACACATTAGGGATGGCATGGGGTGTAGGACGTATTCAGAACCAACAGCACACAGTCAGAACACTCCATCCAGTGTGCAGACGTTATGAGGAAATTATCGCAAATGTCCCCGTTGACTGGTTCGTTTATATGAATACAGCGGGGTCATGTGACGTGTGGTTGATACATTTATGTTTAACTACGCTCTCATTCAAACAATAAGGCTTTAACCAACTTTCATTAGTTTCACTGTGGATTCATCTCAAATGTAAGAAAGCAGTAATACCTGCAACATCACAACGATCCAATGATGTAAGAGACACAAAAGGCCCATATTTTATATACTGCACATCATATTTTAAAAAGTTCCTCATGTGTTTTGTGTGTAAGTAGCATATAAAACAGAAATCAAGTAAGGTACACTCACACCAAGTACAGTACTCGAGTAAATGTACTTTCCAGTTATCAGAAAATATAGAAAATGCACCAGTGTCCTATTTCAGTTGCCTGTGGGTCCACAGAAGAAGTGCATGGTGGTGATTTTCCTTTAGGGGATTAGAAATAATAATTGTCCACCGCTGCCAGCAGCAGCAGCAGCAGCAGCAGCTCTGGTGACTCACACAGAGCTGGTGGATCTCCAGAAAAATGCCTCCTGAATGAGAGATGTGACAGCAAGTCTGTTCACCGTGATGCTGCTGTGGATGATATCCCCTCTGCTCTCTCTCAGGTTCATGGTTCCTCCATCACTCAGAGACAGTACATCACCTACAGACTGGTGCCTGCGTGTTCTCTGTCTCTGGACAGTCTACCTCCCCACTGCACACTCCTGCATTTAAACCAAGTACAGCTACCAAACGCAGGTGATTAGTGCAGCCTGAAGAATCATAAAGCATGAACCCAGCATATCTACAACCAGCAGACACTCTGTCTCCAGCAGCAGCATTATGGGATTACCATTTCTGCTTCCGAGTTAAACAGAAAGCAAACACGCAGAAAGCATTTTTTTCCTCCCCTGTAAAGCTCTACATTAAACCTGTTGTACAGTAGGTCAGCAGCACTCAGTCTCCATGTCTTTTGCGCGTCGGAGCGCAGGCGGCTTTGATTTTGACGCACCAAGACGCTGCCGTACAGCGCAGGGATAACATCCATCCAGGGGCGTTGATGTGTTAAAACTGAGGTTTAGCAATGCAGCAAATCCCATCACCTAATTTAACATAATTTGAAGCAAATTCTCCCACGGAACCACCCCGCTGATACGGAGAGGATTCCCTTTATTGTGCGATTAATTATTAAACGCGGGTCTCCAGACGCGCGCAGATCAGAGAGAGCATGGCTCCTAAACGCTCCCTAAAGACGCTTTATTTTTAGATATGGATCCCACATTGATTTTTTTTCTATTACAGCTTTGCTCCCCGGATGGTAGGAAGCACCGTGAGGACAGCGTTTGGCCAGCGGTGCCCACACTGTGCCAAACCCACAGTGCCGGCCCGTGCAGCGGTTCCCATCGCTAAGCCACGTTTCTGAAGACAAAAAGCTCCCCCTCCCCACCACCTCCACCTCCACCTCCACCAGCAGCAGCATATCCGTGACACTTGTCACTTGAGAGGAAGCGAGTGAACAGCGCCTGGTGCGTCCAACACCATCCAAACGCACGAACCCGACACTTCCACCGGGGAGAGAACCGCTCAACAAAAGCCGGACAAAAGCGCAACAAGACAGGCAGCCTGGAGCGCTGGAACTGCAGCACATGAAAGAGTGTTTTAAGACAGTGTACTCCAGCTGGGTGATTTATGCCTTCACAAGAAACAAGTAGCCATCAATTATTTATCGGCTGCGTTACTGTACAGCCCGAACAGAGCGATGTGTCAGCATGCCAGCAGGCTGCCAGACAGGATGCCACACATCAGTACGCACAGAGAGAAGAGAGGAGAGAGATCCTACCTGGTTGGAACATACTTTGGAAATAAAAGATGACCAGAATAAAGGATCCCAAACAAGTGGCAAATACCATCCGGCATATCCTGCTCATCCTCATCAGTTCGGCCAGAGTCTGTTTCATGTCGGGCAGGACGGACGGCTGGAGGCTGCGGCTCGCTTTGTGGGGGAATGAAGGGCAGTTTTGTTGGAAGCTCCGGGGGCTCTGCTGGTACTGATGAGGATTGTCCGCCGGTCAATGAGCTGAACGCATCCAACACGGAGCGTACCACTGGCGGGCTGCGGGAGGGGGGAGAGGGCGGCGTGGTGGCACCCCCGCTCGGAGAGAATGAGCACGTCCACGTGTGCGCTCTTATTCAGCGGTGTTACAGTAAAACCTGTTGGTTACGCCTGTCCAGCTCAAAGAGGAAATATAGATGTGACGGCTCCACAACTACTACACTATAATGGTGGTGTGTTGGTCTGATGGAGGACGTCCTGCTGTCAGGCTCCAACTGTTACTGTTCACAGTGCCGTGTGAAATGAAATGTACATTAGAATATGATGGACATTAGTGTTTAGAACACTTGTAGCATCTGGCCTGAGCATTTGAGTTCAATTTTGAGGCAATTAAACTGAAATATTATGCTTCTAGGAGCCTATTATGTTGTGAAAGTTAATCAATTAAGTCAATTTCTGAGCGATTTAAAACTAAACTTAAGTTGTAGTAATGTCATGAAATTGGCAAAAAATACAAATAAATTCACCCTGAGTTCAGGATTTCAAGTCCAGCCTACTGTAGGAACATGCCTGGATGATTTCAGACAGTGGAGACGGGGAATTAAATACACATTTGATCGTAGAGGAAAGCTAACTTTAGTGTAGTTTATCGATTGAACATAATTTTGGCCACAACTTTCATAGGTCCAAACATTATTTTGTACAGTGAACTTCACCACACCTGTACTTAAAATATATTTATTTTTAATGATTCTTTTAAGACCATTTTAGAACCTGAGCTTCTTTTAGCCATTTTGGCTTCAAATGACAAGTTGAATGAATAAACAGTTCACTTTACTCAGAAGATCAAACTCGTAGCAGATTTCCCATGATGCACTGTTAGAGAGTTTTTTGTAGTTTGAGAAACAGACATGCTGGAACCTTGCTGTGTGTCTTTAATGCATGTTGAACTAAGTTAAAGTTGTTTCTCTTTAGAACAAGCAACACAATCCTGACGATGACAAAGGTTAGCACTGAACAGAGTCCCTGCTCCTGCAGACCTGTCGTGACTCTCACTGAGCCTCACAGAATGACTTTGGGCTGACTTTGGTTTAACAAAAGAGAAAAGCAGCTGTGAATGTACATTCTAAATGTTAAATGAAGACGAGAGAATAAAACCAAAGCCAGTCAGTGTGTCTGTGACGAGTTGATTCAACTGAATAGCTCAAGTTTCTCAAACTTATTTTCTCAAGTTCAGATAATTTAACTCCGGTAGTTTTAACATGTTTAAAGCTCATAAGAGGACTTTGAACTAATGAATGAAATGAATGAAAAATACTTTTATTCATCCCAGAAGGGAAATTCAATAATTCATCAACCAAAGGGTAGACGACTCTTAAAAGCAGCAGGGGAACATAGGTTTAAGTTGAATTAACTCATAATGTACTTAAGCATAGAATAAAAGTCCATCACAAGTAATAGTTCTGCATTCAGAATTTCACTTCAGTAAAACTACAAACACATCACCAGCACTAAGCAGCAGAACGGCCTCCATACCACACTGTATGTTGAAGTATTATTACCAGTGGATCTGTGTGCAGACAGCATTTCACTTCTTTATATACAGTTGAATACTTTAAACTACTCTCAAGCTTTCCAGCTCCAGGTCTGGCTACATGAGCCTATTTAAGCCACGTAACACAGATATGTTTGTAAAATCTAATCTGCAGGATCTTTGACACAGTTCAATAAATGTAGTAAAGTTAAAAAAGTGCAAATGCCTTCTTCTAAAATCAGGTGGAGCAGAAGTATAAAGTAACATAAAAAAAATACTCAAGTACCTCAAACTTGTACAGAAGTGCAGAACTTCAGTGACTGTAATCAGTTGTATTTCACCACTTCTTGAGTTTTATGCTACTTTACATCTTCTGCGCTATAACACTTAAGGAGAACAGAGTGAACGTATTAATGTCACTGTAACTGTTATTCAGTTGCACCTACATTATGTGGTGTATAAGTAAGATCTGACAGTGTCTAGTTTGGCCTCCTGTCACCTTTCAGATGTTACTGGGTTGCTAGTAGACCATCAAAGAGTGACTTTCACTCTAATCGTCTCACACAATTACATAGAAATAACCGTTATTGTTCCAGATTGTCAAAACAAAGACAAAACTGACATATTTGTTTATCACAACTCTATTTTTCTTCCTTCTTTTCTCCCACATTAATCATCTCATAGACCCTCATACTTATCTTGACCATTTCAAGTTTCTGTTGTGGAAACCGAAGGAATAAACTCCCCGACTGTAGATCAAGTCAGCGCCACAAGTCATACAAAACAAAGTATGTTTACTGTGATACTTTAAGTACATTTTACTGATAACACTGCATATGAGACTTTAACTTGGAATTGCTGTTCTGACTTTAGGATGTGAACACCTCTGACTACTAGCAGCAGTTTTATAGGTGCAGTAGTATTAATGAAATCTAAAATGATTGTCAACCCAAACACCTGCCTCTGTGTTATTCTTCTTTCCTTCCAGTAACGACTGAACACTGTGGGAGTACAGCATGCCCTCCTGCACATACAGCTAGAGTGCCACCTAGTGGAGGGAGAGCACACGCTGCCCAACGATCAGGTGAAACCTCTGAACACTGTCCAAGACCAGCAGGCAGTGATAGATAGACCTATATGCAGCATCTTAACCTTGCTGTGAGATCTGCACAAAGTCATAGCAGCTGCTTTGCTTTGATCAAATTAAGCTCTAATGGCATTTTCAGGAGCACGCCAAAAGAAACAGTCCTGTGCACTTTTTCTAATTAGGATATCTGTCTTACTTACACAAGCAGGTCTGTCAGGGAGAGAATCAGAAGGTGGTCTGGAGGATAACCTCGTAAAATTTGCATCAAATCATTCCGCAACAATGTTCCACCGGCAACAGTGCAACGCGCTGATATTAACATGGAACGGACGGGAACCTGTGCACTCGTAACAAGCAGCAACGCACCAAGAGAATTAAAATGACGTCCTTGCCCAGGACACATCTATGTTGTAAGTTCACAGATGTACATTTTCCACTCTAAATGCAGAGCGCAGAGCGAAGGTGGCGGGGGAAACTCAAAGGGTCAGAGGCATGCCTTTAAGAAATATCTGCCCTGCAGTCCCTGCCTTCATTTGTATGAGGCACTTCACGTAATGACCTGCATGAATATTCAACAGTTGTTTTAAGACGGTCGCTATGCTCCGGCACGCTGAACCAAACAGAGAATATAAAAGAGGGAAAAACAAACAAGGTAGCGCATCAAACTCTGGTCTGATGTCTCAATAAAGACCATATGCATCAATTAAAGCGAGAGCATTCGCTGATAAACACTATTAATTTGGGTAATTCCATAATCCCCGTCTAGTTCATTACATGAAATTAAGGCTGTAAAGCCCCTGAGGCTCATGCCATAGCAATAAAAACACCAAGTATAAGCCCAAGCTTTTACTCCATGTAAATGCATCAAATCCCAGAGTCTTATCACTCTCCTGCAGCCTTTAAAAACTCTGCTATATTCAAGCTTACAGAGGCTTTCAAAGGCAGAACCGTAGGGAGCATCTTATCTTCCCTAAAGTTGAGAGCCATAAAAACGCATCAATAGGACTGTATATTTCAAAGTTACGCTCAAAGCAAATAGTTCATAAAAGATGCAAACAATCCTAAAAAGCAGCAACACGCACAAATAATGAAGTGTGTCAGCAGCAGATCATCAGCCTTCGCCCGCCTGTCCTTCAGGCTTCAGGTAAAGACGTCACTGGACGGTCGGTTGGCCGTCGTGCTGCCATCACGGCTCAGAAGATCACAGGCCCTTCCCCGCTGTCCTGCACTGTCGCTATCGGCAGCTGTGACTGACAGCAGGGAGCTAACCTCAGCAGTTTCCCCTCAGCATCAAGGCTTCCGACATACGCTGGGTTTGGGTCAACGAGGTGAGCACCTGGAGAGCACAGAGCACATGTCAAGGGACTGTACTGCTCTGCAAAGTGTGAGAAAATTAACTATGTGAAAGCACAGCCCAAACAAATCGTATCATCTTAATATCTGAAGTCTGAGCTACAAAAGAGAGATAATAATCAAGCATTTTTACATTTACTACAATATAACTGACTGTATATAAAAATGGATGAACCCTTCCATTGTCACAAATGGGCTCCTGAAGAGGTGTACGTACATCCACATGTCACACAGAACCAAAGCCTTCATCATGCATAACTTTAAGCTTTTATAAAAATTCATCCCCCATGCAATCAAAATTATCTGTAGAAACCAAAACTGTTTTTTGTACCAAGGTATTAACAAGTTTATTTCTGCTTTTAACATGTCGACTGACTCAGCCTTAAGTGGATGTTTAGCAGAGTCATACACACAAACAGAGGTGTTGCTCCGCGGTGTTGCTAACGGGGGTCCCTCATGTCAAACGCTGAAAAACAAATGGGGCTACCATGGATGTTTCTGAAAGGCTTGATTTTGCCCTTTTTCCAGGTGTAGCTGTTGACAGCAGGGTTACAGCACCATGTCAGTGATCCTTCCTGAGATATGCTAAGCACTTTGGAACAGCCTGCTGCCAGAGTTTGTTGCTGTTACCTTCCTGCATAGTGGGTGGACGTAGCGCAGGATTTCTGGAGAAGTTTGAACTCCCTGCTGTGTTTGAGCTGCATGGATGGTAAGCATGAATAAATCAAAGCTCCTCCAATGCCCAGCAGTGACTACTTCAATTAAAACTCTTTTAATAATGAATTATAAAAGCGTGGTTAACCGCAAATCTCTTTATATCGTACAAGTGTTTGTTTGAAGCACCATTTATTTTTGTGGTGCAGTCATTACATTTGCAGTGTGCACAGGCGCAAATTTCCAGCTGTACATCAGTTTGCGTGAATTTACATCACAGGAACCTTTGTGGACATGTGGCAGCAGAAAAAATGAATTGGCTTTAATCATGCAAAACTTTTTTGGGTGGACCTCACAGCTGAGGAATTAAAAAAGAGCCGACAGTAAGGCATGTTATACTGAGATTGTCTCATTTTTCCACAATCAAAAACATAATTTTTTGGCCACTTGGAGGAAACAGAACAGGTGGAAAATTACATAGTTATTATTGAAAATAAAACTTCTGTGTGCTTACATTGGACATGAACAACATCAGCTGGAGTTACCTGATGAGCCCAGAGAAATATATTTGGCTATTTAGCTCACAAGAACTCTGATATGTTCACCAGCTTGTCTCTAACATTGTCTGTCTGAGCAGGTAGTACATAATGGGTTAACATGGGATTATTTTTTGCTGCCTGCTGCTAATAAATATGGTGTTGATGTAAGCAACATTATGGGCTGAAAACTAAGTCAGTCAGACGAAAGATGCTTCAACACTGTGCACAGCTGTGGAAACCTGCAGCGGAAGATAATCTTTCATGGTTCATGACTATGAGCGACACCTTCCACATTATTTACAGTCATTTGGTTCACTGGTCATATAAAAAAATGTGGATTGGTGCAGCATTAACTGATCAGAATCATTTGTGAAATCAATATGCTGCACGGTGGCGCGGTGGTTAGCACTGTTGCCTCACAGCTAGAAGGTTCGTGTCCCGGTGAGGACACCTGGGATCTTCCTGCGTGGAGTCTCCATGTTCTCCTCATGCAGCGTGGGTTCTCACAAACATCCATTATCTACACACTGCTTAATCCTCACTAGGGTCATGGGGGGCTGGAGTCTATCCCAGCCGACTTAGGGCGATGGCAGGTTCACCTGGACAGGTAACCAGTCTATCACAGGGCTACACTTAGAGACAGACAACCAAGCACACTCACATTCACACCTACGGACAATTTAGAATCACCAATTAACCTCAGCATGTTTGGACTGTGTGGGAGGAAGCCGGAGAACCCGGAGAGAACCCACGCTGCACGGGGAGAACATGGAGACTCCACACAGAAAGATCCCGGTGCCCCCACCGGGACACAAACCGGCGACCTTCTTGCTGCGGGGCAACAGTGCTCCCAACTGAGCCACCTTGCAGCAGTCCAAAAACATGTTGAGGTTAATTGGTGATTCTAAATAGTCCGTAGGTGTGAATGTGAGTGTGCTTGGTTGTCTGTCTCTAAGTGTAGCCCTGTGATAGACTGGTGACAAATAAATCTGACCTCTGACCTGTAAAAACATGTTGTCAATATAAGGTGCATAATACAGCATCCTCTGTACTTCAGAGCAATCAATCCACCTCATCAATCAGTCCAGAGGGGAATATATGGTTAGCCATCACTCAATATCTCCAAACCCCTTCTTAGCTGACACTGCCAGGACCAGTGACCTATACTTAACACTCAACGGAACACCTTATTAATTAACTTTGGAAAATGTCGAGTATTAACCCACTCATGTACTGTGGGGTCAGCCTCCAGGTTCTATTAAATATTGTCTATGAATAATTCAGACTGGCAGCATTCAGAGCAGGAAACTCATTTGAATCAGCTGCTCTGACATTGACCCCCAGAGTTTTCTTCAGGCAATATCTCAAAACTGAGCTCTGAGCACAGCATCGCAAAACTTAGTGCAACAGGACAACAAGGAGGCAAATTACACTGATGGAGAAGGAAAAACCAACAGGTGGCAGAAACAGCAGTTAGTCATTTTGTGACTTAAAAGCCTTCAAATTAAGTTGTTTCTGAGAAATAGTGTAAAAAAAAAAAAGGGATGCTGACCTGGGCTGCTCCAGGGTGGACGCCAACGGTGGCATCTAGCTGCTGTTTGGTGAGACCACATCTCATCGCTGTAACAAAGCCTTGCAGGATATCTCCAGCATTGGGGCCCATGATGTGGAGACCGACGACACGCTCCTGTTATAACACAGCAGTGGTGTAGAGAGCTGATCAGAGGCTGAGCTAAAGGCTGCTGATGTTTACATCACCAACTGAAGCACATAAGTCACAATGAACTCAAAATGTTCACACCTGGGTCATCCACGTTCTTTCTTCTCAGTCTCATACTAAAAGTCTAAGTCAGAATTCTTAGTCACACATTTAAATTGAGTTTCATTTCCGTTATTTGTGGGTCATTTAGATAATTTCTAAATGAGCATCAACTCTCCAACCCAAATCCAAGTTACAGTTGAGTCAGAGTCCTTTGGTATATGTCTTACTCAGAGGGAGTCTGGATAAATCAAGTACCAAGGCCTTAATGAACTGGTCTGAATCAAACTGCAAGTCCCCAAGATCCTATCTGAGTCTAGTTTAGTCCAAGTTCCTTGATCTGTGAGGCAACAGGCTGTTTTGCACTGAAGGAACTTCTGGGCCATTTCTGGGAAGCCGACCACAAGAACTGTCCCTGGAGAATCTCTGTCATGGTTGTTTTGTGGGTAGACAGTAGCACCTACTCCACAAACAGAAAAGCTGAAAGGGCAGATTACGGGGCCATTCCTGTAAATGTTTATGCCACATCACGCCTGCCTCGAGTCCAAGCAGCAAAGACTCACCACCGTCTTTTCCAGGTAACACAGTGTGCAATCCTGAGTCATGTCTACTGAGCTCTCAAGCCTATATGTGAATCTGAGTCACATTCAAGTGGACTTTCAGCTCAGTGTGTTAGTCAGTTCATGTCTGAATAGAGTCCCAAGTCCTCAGGCCCTAATACCCCTATATCCCATGCATCTTCCATGTTACAATCATTTTCTAAACTAGGTACAGGTTCCTCAGTGTACAAATACAAATCACCATAGTCTCAGCCAGTTTGCCACACACTTCAATGTGCACACCCAAGTCACCAAGGTCAGGACCAAGTCACAGTTCCTTACTGTAGGTCACCGTAATCAAAATGGAGTCACAGTCATTCTGGATGAAATCAGAGAAAACCATCTTGTCTAAGCTAGACTCCAAGTCCCTAAACATCCAGTCAAAGCGCCGTTCTCAGTCTGAGTCGCTCTCATTCTGCCTGATTTGGACAAAGTTCTTGTAGCCTTGTCTGATCTTGTCATAACACGTTCTGCATTGTCAAAGCCCAAGTGAAGGAGGTCATGCCTTGGTCAAGTTCCAGTCCTCCAAGTCCTGGTCACCACTGCAGGTCAAGTACCCTCTAAAGCTTTCAGCCACAAGGGTCACGGTCAAGCAGAGTTTAAGTTCCTTAAGGTGAAGTCAGAGTTAGGGAATGCTGTGTCAGCGGAAAATCCAAGTCCTTCATCAGTCCTCACTCAGATTCAAGTCTGACTTCAAGTAGGGTCATTCCATAGAAAATCAATTAAATCTGAAAAAAAAAACTCCCACCTGACCCCCTCAGCATCATCTCATCATGCACGTGTGAGCCTGGCATCAAAATGTAGGTGAAAATGTGACCTTTCACATCCTATAACTTGAACTTTTTTAAGTCCAGTGAATGATCAAAAAGTGGGTGACACAACCAGGGTCCCACGTGCTTGCTTCTATAACTCTGTGTCATAGACTTAAACTGGTAAAGTTTGACTGTGATACAGATGCTCAAAGTTGGCTGTGGACAAAATCACTCTGAACAAAAACAAAATGTTGGCTTTAGATTGTGATACAAAAAGTGGATGTAAAACTGACTTTTTTACAATTTGCAACAGAGCTCAGACGTGTTCTTAATCCCAGAAAACGTCATGTGTCTATCACTTGGATATTTGAAGTTATAGAGGCTCAAAAATGCAGTAACATTCTTTTACAGATTTAAAGGCACAACATTTGCACCCACCCTTATGTACTTCAAGAGCCTGTAACTGCGAAATTATTCATAGTATGAAGGTTACCTTTTACATGTCTTCAATATACACTAAAGTTACTGTACAAAAAGAATCATCTGATTCTGAAGCAGTTAGGTGAGAGGCACTGACAGGTTTTTCATGGAATGACCCAGTAACGCACACTGGAACAAAGTGAAAGTGACAAAAACAAATGAATACATATTAAAAGCCAGTTTAGCTTTTATGGCGGCTGCAGTATTTTTCAATCTGTGGACGGGGAATCGAGTGTAATTAAAACGTCAGTGGGATCGCAGCGCAATTCATCTACATAAAGCTAATGAGTCAAAAGAGCAGAGAGCACTGACATTAACACAGTTATCACCAGCTTGACAAAGATGCATTATGAAATGCAGCTATCTCCAGTGATGCCAAGTCAGTGGTGGAAAGAGCTAAAAATATAACAAAAGGGTGGGTGGACTAATGAGGTTTGAAACATTGCACAACTTGTGGCACGATGACGAAGGATTCCCAGAGGAGTGAAAGAAACTTCTCGTGTCTTCTAGCTTTGGCAATGTATATTACAGTTAAAAGAAAACATGTGTGGGGCCTTCTGGTGGTTTGAACATGTCTTCGACTACACAGGTGGTTATATCGGATAAGATCTCACAGTGGTACATGATCCGATGCAGCACTGAGCAGCGCAACATTATGATAAGGATATGAATGAATAAACATGTACAATGTACTCTCCCTCTGTGAAGCTCCTAAAGGTCAGTTGTTTTGTTGAGGCTTTCAGCTATAGTGAGTGAACTCAGTCTAAGTGTGGACATTTGTTCTGCACTTTACTGTTTTGTTTGCTTGCTTATAAATCCATTTAATACACAGATTAGTTTTAAAAATGCAAATAAAATGTAAATGCAAACCATTTCAGAATTCATGCATGAATCCTGTCTAAGTTGTTCGCAGACATTTGCATATTTACACATCCAGCAGACGTTAATTATTAGCATTATTTGAGAATTTTTTAAATTTTATATTTTGGTCATTATGTGAATCTCAGTCCAATATTCACTCTCCTTTTTATTTCTGGCTTTTGCCCCAACAAGTCCTGAGAGGGATATCTGGTTCTTTAGCTGCTAACTGCTCCACTACGCTCACCATCAAGCTGCTAATTTTGCCTAATGCTTGGAGCTGTGTAGGTGGTGTAGAGTGAACTGTTAGAGCTTTGTCTCTGACCTGCTGAATCTGAAAACTTAATGAAAGTGAGTTAAGCTACAGGCTGTAAAGCAACACAATCTGCTGAAAAGCTGTGCTGAGATGACAACTGTCTGTAGGTTTGTCAGAATGAATAACACATTACACATGATAATGATCAATTGAGCTATTGGTAATATTAAAATAATGGTAAGTGCAGCATTAAAATATACTGATAGACTAAATCTTAATGATGCGTACCTGATCGGGGACGTGGCAGATGACTTTAACATAGCAGGAGTTTTTATTCCTGGCAGGGAGAGTCCACTCATGAGGCCAGTAGTAGCTGTGATAAACCTGCAAAAGGACATTTTGAGTTGAGATATTTCCACAAGTTAAGAACTCCTGTTAGCTTCAGCATGCCTGCTTGTGTGTGTGTGCACCTCAATGTTGTCCTCTCCAAATGTCAGACTGGCCTTCTCCTCAGACAGACCACAGGCAGCATATTCCAGTGGAGTGAGCACAACCGTGGGAACAACGGTGTAATCACACTGTGAATGAAAAACTACATCAGCTCAAAAAGTTTCCAACGCAACGATTGTCCTCTAACATCTCTCCGTGCTCATGTGAAAGTTCTAGATATGATGGATCCTGTTTGCAGACTATATACCAAGATGCTGTCTCCTCCATAGAGTCGACGGGCCAGGAGCGTCCCAGCATGCAGCGAGAGGCCTGTGGTAGATGGGCGCCCATGCTGCACTGATCCAATGGCGTAAATATGATCTACGCTAGTCTGGTCCCTCTCGTTCACCAGAATCCTGCCAGTACTACACACACAAACACACACAAGAGTTAAACAAAAATCTGCCATGCACAAACTGAGACCAAAATAAACATGGATGGATTAAACCCACTCCTGGCTGCACTGCACTCCAACACACTCCAGGCCGATGTCAGCGGTGCAGGCCTTCCTCCCGACAGCCAGCAGCACCTGCACACAGTGGACACACAAAACCAGCAAGAGAATCAACAAACCCCTGTCGCTAATGGTGTTTTTACTGCTAGTGTTAGTGGTAGAAAAAATACTGGAGAAAAAAAGAAGTTGACGTACTGCATCAAACAGATCCTGTTTGATTTGGTCTTCCCTGGAGATAAAAGTCACCTGAAGTCTCCTCTTAGAAACCTGCTGAGGTGTTGTTACCAAATCACCTGCTAAAAAATAATACATTGTGTAAGAGTTAGCCTCTAGATTAACATACAAATTAGACTTTCACTTGAAATTCAAGTAGCTGTAATAGTTTTTATATTAAAGTCTGGTCTTGTTCAACATTTTTCAAGTTAAAAATCCCCCTAAAAACTACATTTTCAAAACTTTCTGACCTCTGCTCTGTCTATGGTTCTCGACCGCAAGCCTCTACTGAAGGCATAAATCTTTAAAAATAGCTCCCAAATATGTGCTTTCATCATTCAGGACTCGACTAGTTTTCTAAAACAGCTGGCCACTGCAGCTTTTACAGAAACAAGAGGAAATAGTGCATTTGTTGGGGACTTTGTTCAGGTGACTGATCCACATTCGGTGCACTGGTCTGTATTCCCTGCAGCAGGCCAGGGTCTAGGGGAGTCCAAATAAACTGCAGTGTATGTTTATGGTAATAGAGCGCCATAGAGTGGAGCTCCACGGCACACAGGAGGCCTTTGTCTACAAACTCACACACAATACTCAGTTAATTCAGTTCAGTGTATGTTTCTAGTCTATTACATTCAAACTGAGTTGCATTTTCAAGTCCAATGACATTTTTAATGACTACAGCATTCTGTGAATTAAAACACCTAACTGTTTGCAGCTTTATTTGATATTTTTGGCTGTTATTTTTTGAAAAACTGTATTCTGGACCAAGTCTGAAGGTCAGCGTCTGTGGGTTTCATCTATAAATCATACACCGCTGGACATCAAAGGGTCTTTGAGCAGTGATATAAGAAGGAGTCTGATCCGGTCAATCCTCAGATCCTACCACTTTTACAATTTGAGACTACGACATTAAAAATAAAACTAATACATTTAGAAGTGCATTTTAAAGACATGCACAGAAGTACTAAATGTACTTATGAGGTAAGTACTGAGTCTAAAGAAAAACACCCTCTGTGACTATTATTAGATCATTTTTTTATAGTTAAGGAGTCTCTTTCATTAGTTTTTAATTTGGGAGTGTATTTTGTGAAACCAAAAGGTTGAAAACCATTAGTTTTATCTGTAAGAATGTCTCATATTTTCTAAGCTTATCTTATAATTAGTTTTATGCAAATTAATCGGAAACTCATAACAGCAGCTGTCAATTAATCAAATATATACCCAAATAGTATTGACATATAGTTATCATGCATGCAATAATATATTAACACATATGCTAAAATGTATTGATCACACATAACCAGTAGACAGTAGGAGTCACAATATGGAAAATGCACCAGACAGGTTTATGTGAGCTACTGGGAGGCACAGGGCCTCTCTGAAGAACAGCCAAATGTCAGAACATGATGTGTCAGAAAGATAGGCAAAATTGGTAAACACAATCCTCTTAGAAAAGTACTCAGCATGTTCACAAGATAAGCAGAAAAGTTCTTGTGAAGATCTATGTAATGATTGCCTGCATGACAGGGCATACAGAAACACTGGGCTGAAGGATAGTTTATGAGAAAGCAGTCACAGGAGCTGACGAGAAGAAAATCAGATGAAACTTATCGAAAGTGGACGTTACGCAGAATGATAAAGGGATTTGGCAACGCTCTGGTGCAGATTGGGAATTCTGTTGAAAACTGTTTCCAGCTTTCATATCTCGGTCGCTCTGGAGACCAACGCGGTTTGTTGCACTCTTTGTGTAGTTTGCAGTAAACGTACACGTGGACCAGAGATGGCTGAGAGCATGTTTTCTCTGCAGATGTTTACAGAACAGCACAGTTCAGCAGATGTAGTCAGGAAGTAATCAGAGGTAAAACTTCTCGTTTCCCCTTGAATGACAAATGTAGTACGAGTCTTACTCTGCAATGGTTCCTCAAGCTTGTACTGAAGGACAGTTTAATACAAACTACAATTAGTGACTTGTATTCGTACGCCTCTGACTGCCAACCAGTCAAGCTGCAGTTATATCCACGTCTATAGAAGGTAGAAATGTAATGAAGAAGTCTAGTTTAATCTCAGAATGCTTGAATTACAAAATGCTGAAGGGCTAATAGTACACAATTTTTTGCACAGTGGCACCAAAAAATATTGCCATCCCCAGCTTTAAATGGTTTGACTTACAGTGTTTTCCAAATTATTGGCAGCTCCAGCGCTTCAGCCATCAAAAGCAACCACGAATTCAGTGTCTTGCTCAAGAGCACTTCGACATGTGAAGGGCTCAGGTGTCGAACTACCAACCCTTCAACACCTGAGTCACATAGAATCATCATATTTTATCCTGTTAGACATGTGTGTCAAACGTTGTCATAGTTAGTGTCTGAATTCTGAATATATATACATGTAATTCAGACACTAGCTATACATCCATCCATCATCTATACACCGCTTAATCCTCACTAGGGTCATGGGGGGCTGGAGTCTATCCCAGCTGACTCAGGGTGAAGGCAGGTTCACCTGGACAGGTAACCAGTCTATCACAGGGCTACACTTAGAGACAGACAACCAAGCACACTCACATTCACACCTACGGACAATTTAGAATCACCAATTAACCTCAACATGTTTCTGGACTGTGGGAGGAAGCCAGAGAACCCGGAGAGAACCCACGCTGCACGAGGAGAACATGGAGACTCCACGCAGAAAGACTCCCCCACCGGGACACGAACCGGCGACCTTCTTCCTGCGAGGCAACAATGCTACCAACTGCGCCACCTTGCAGCCCATACATATATATACATACATATATTAAAGAATTTGGCAAAATATCACCACCAAGATCCCGGGTGTCCTCACCAGGATGTGAACTGGCATCAGTTCATTTAGAATTCAAGTGAATGACTGAATCAAATTCAACAAAATTCTCTCAAGGTGTTGAAGAATCAGAAACAAAGATTGGACAGGCAGTCAGGCAGACAACCCAACAGGCTCAGCTGTCATCAATGTGGAGGCATAAAAATACACGTGCACTCAGTTTCAGTAAATCCTTTCTGGAAGCTGTCCATAGACAGAAATAGTTGTGGTAAAATGGTGAAAGCGCACCATTAAACAAGTATTTGCGTTACGTGATTTTATAATTGCATTTTCTGTTCTGGTGTAAACAGCTGCCTTACCTGAAATGACACCGTCTGTCTGCTCCACCTGAGACACACACACACACACACACACTAATGTGAGACGTTCTGTGTTTTCTAACAGAGATGCTGCTCTGCTGCTGTCTGTGTGTGTCTGTACCTTACTGAGTGAGCAGTGATGAAGAAAGTCCACTCCTTCAACACTCATGTAGTTTTCTATCTTCTCGGCCATTTTCTGATCCAACCCCAGCAGCAGTTCAGGTTGCAGCATGACGGTGACCTGCAGTCCCAGACCAAACAGGAAGCCGGCGCACTCCAACCCCTCAGCATCCCCGCAGACCACCAGAGTTCGAGCTGGGGGGTGAGGCAGGGAGAAGAGATCCTCACTGTGGGCGGCAGAGTGTGAGCAGAGATGATGTGAAATGCTTCGCAGGTAATGCAGTTGTCTTTATTCAGGCACACGTGGAATCTGGTGGGTAAGTACGAGCTGACCTGGTCAGGCAGTGCTCTGTGCCTCCAGGTACGTCCAGATACTGAGGTCTGTCTCCTGTAGCGACGACCAACGTCTCTGCTGTCAGGCGCCTTTTCCTCCCGTTCATCTCTGTCACCTATTAAAACACAAATGGGACAAATGGGAAAGCTTACATTGCAGCTGAAAGAGTCAGCGTTTGCTTTGATGCTGCATGTACTCAGATACTGTCACTGGAACTTCAGGTAACATTTTGACCACTCAGCCAGTGAGATTATTTAAGGCTCTCCAGCAAAACACAGTCACCACGCTGAATGCTGAGGACGATGCAGTCATGCATTACGCTGATGACGCTAAAATATTCCTATGTGCATAATATAGGGAGTCTCTCAACTTCTCTTAGAAATGGAGAGCTAGTTATGATTTTCTTATAACTGTTCAATCTCAAGACAAATTAAACACAAGAAAACAAAGCAAAGTAATTGGAAGTGAAATGTTGGCTGCAAGTCCTTGATGAGTAAAATATAGGTGAGCACAGCTACAGTGAATACAGCAGGTTGTGTAAAGCTGGAAACCATCTGAAAGCCCTCTCTGACGTTGGAGGCAAATGGAGATATCAGTGTGTATGGAGGGGATACTTGCCTCTCAATATTTACAATAGGAGCATTTTTCTCCCCGAATAAAAACAAGAAAGAAGCAGAAAACATTATAACATTACCATTAGATCCACAATGTCTTCAACACAGGTGGGTCTTTTCCTTTAGCTCTGGGTCTGGGTTTTACTCTAAAATTAAATATAAGCTTATTTAACCACTGAATCTTTTGTGAAAAGCATCATTAGACCCACATATCTTTATTACAGTATGTCTTGAATTGTTACCTGGCACTTTAATCTTGGGTTTCCCTTTACATAAATGAAGACATTTCCACCAAAAAAAATGGATGTAGAAGAGGCACAGACTTGTGAAGAAAAAATCACCAGAATGCAGTAAATGAAGAAAATCAGTCCTGATGTAGACTGATACCTCATATCAGACTTCATTTCAGATTGTCGCTACGTCCTGAGATTCCAGCTTTAGACTTTGTGTTATTATTAAACAAAACCAAAGGCCAGAGTTACACAAAATACGATTCAAGTGAAAGCTACCTGTGCACTTTCCTTTACCTCCTCTCATTCTCCAATTATCCGGCCAAATTGAAATTTCTGGGACCAAATCACTGACATCAGCGGGCCAAGTGTTGTCTGTGTGTAAATAAAGATTCAATAATGCTAATATCTGGGGCATCTCAGTGACTTACAGATGTAATCACACAGTTACCAGCTCTGGGGCATTTTTGCTGTAACAAATATAATATTCTTGAAACAGTTCATCCTTTGTGATCACTGATGATTTTTCTGCAAAGAGTCTAACACAGATTCGGAGTGGAAGTGTTTCAACCAGTCAGCATTTTTACCTCAACTGTATGAGGCGCCACTATCTCCCCTCGAGCACTGAGGTGGACGACTGAGCAGCTCCTCAGCTCCCTGCTCAGCTCTAAACTGGCAGACTTCTGCTGCTCCTGCACAGCCTGCACCAGCTCACTCCAGCCATGTGACACTGGAATGAAGCAACAGCACAACATGTGTGTTCACGTCTTACACATAATTATATGACTGCTAAAACTGCTTGTGGTACATTTTAAAGTGTAATTGATTGGTTTTTTTTTTTTGTTTGTTTGGATTTTGCAGTAAGACCTCTGAATTATCTATAATTAAATGACTGTCAAATGGAGTTTTTGTTCACATGATTAGTTCTAACAAAAAACACAACATCACCAACTCACCCTCTTGTCTGAACCTCCAGCCGTATTTCTGAGAATCTTTAACAGCTTTTCCTAGCAGTGTTGCCTGTTGTAGAAATTTCCTGATGTTGTCCTTATTAAAACTGGAGCCTCCCAGTTCTGCAGGAAGAGAAGAGAAGAGAAGAGAAGAGAAGAGAAGAGAAGAGAAGAGAAGAGAAGAGAAGAGAAGAGAAGAGAAGAGAAGAGAAGAGAAGAGAANAAGAGAAGAGAAGAGAAGAGAAGAGAAGAGAAGAGAAGAGAAGAGAAGAGAAGAGAAGAGAAGAGAAGAGAAGAGAAGAGAAGAGAAGAGAAGGGATTCATTATCACCACCAACCGTTGACAGTCTGAGAACTGAGCACTCACCCCTCTTGGTGCCTCTCGGAGTGGGAGCCACCAGGTCAAGGATAAGCACCTTTTTCCTTCGCCCTGCTGCTTCCTGAAGGATGGAGAGGAGAGAAAAACAGACTGAGAGAGACACTTAGACAGCAATGGAGAGGAGACAAATTAAATATTTAAACGGGTTAAGCATTTGTCCTTCTCGACAATCCCAGCTCTTGCCCCTTCATCTCATTTCCACTTTCCTCTAGAGCTGCTCACAGATCATCCCATTACCATAAAGCCCATTAATATGATAATTATCTGAGCTGTGCTTTGGCAAAGAGCGCTTTTATTGACCAGATTAGCAGTAATTATGAGGTTCAGTTGGTGAAGTGTCCTCTACCACTGGGAGTGATGCAGGAGTTACATTAGGACGTGAGCAGAGGAACTTGGGAAAGTACAGACATGACTAAACAGGGAGCTATCGATGTCTCACAGTAGTCAGACCATGACCTGAAAGCTTTGATATGTGCAAATAATGTGCAGGGAATCATCAGGAGGCACACGCACATGCATACATTCTTTGCAACATCTACACAAGAAGAGGAAAATACTGTAAATATTGTCTTGCTTAGACTTTTTGCACCCATTTAGCTTCATATTATAACACTCCCACTTTCATGTTTCACTGTTAGGTCTATGCACTCACTGTGGTCCTCTGGTCAGGTTCACATCAAACATGCTGCACACCATCAGATCCAAGCAAAGTCTAACTTTGCAGTTATGAAGTTTTCTTTTTGGACTCTTTTTGTAAAAGTTCACTTCCATACTTTCCTTGAAATGTAACCAGGTAATTAACACCAATAGTAATGTAATCCATTGGATTACAATAAAAAATAAATAAAAAAATCTAATCAGAACACGTTGAATTACTTCAAAGTCAAGCATTAAAAATTCCACAAATACCTTCAACTCTTTAAATGTCTGAAAACATTTTTAATCCAAATAACATGCATTTTGCACATTCAGCATTTACAAATGACATTATCGTTACAACAGCAACACTAGCATAAACTACAGGTGTATTGTATGTATTCTACAACATGTGGGATGCATTTTTTTTTTCTATCAAAGGCCACATGAAGGACTTATAGCACAAGATGAACACTTAGATTGTTGATCGCACATTTTTAGTGTGGTGACGGTAACTTTATTTTCAGTTTGCACAAATTCCTCTGAACACATGTCTTGTGTTGCACTTTTTAAATGTGCGGTGATGGTGCTATTGCCAATAAGACAGCTGTTTTGGAGGGACCACTGTGGCTTGGACCTTCCATGTTGACTCAACACCGTAAAATTGCCATAAGCTTAAAAATGGAAACAAAATTTAAATAAGTCTTGAACAATCTAACTATAAACTAATTGCACACTTTTTCAAATGTAACCCAGGGTGATTATAGAGTTTCATTTTTGTGTACATAATCCCAATGACATGAAATGCTTTTTTAGTGTTTTTGCACAGGAGCGTACTGAGTTTTCTTGTATAAAGTTAAAATCATATTTAGTGAACTGAAGAATAGATATGAGATGCATGCTTTATGTCACATTTCTCTTGCTCTAACACATCTCAAAGCTTTGAAAAAACAAAGAGCATAACAAGTATGAGGGATTAAAACAAACACAACTGCTGCCAGTAGTCTATATGTGGCTGCTGAGCTGAATAAGAAGTGAGCTGACCTTTGCCACAGCGAGGCCTCCTGACCCCCCTCCAATAACCAGCAGATCATAGTCGTAGAGCCCCAAGGAAGGCCCTGTTGCTGGGTCCATGTTTCACTGCCACAAGCCGGGGACACTGGCAGCTGTTTACTGTTACCTGGAAGCACAGACACAGACTTTGGCCTCTGTGCTCTTATTGGCACTGAACGATGTCAGCTGACCGAAGAGTTCAAGTCTCAAAACTGAACACTCTGAACGACAGCTGCCATTTTTTATTTTTTATTTTGCTAAATGTCTAGATCTGTGCTTTTGTTTATACCGAAAAATTGAAAAAAAAAAAAAAAAAAAAAAAAAAGTTTTGTGTTTGGTTTTCCTGCCAGGATGGAAACATTACTTTATATGTTAAGACTGTATAAAAACACGAAATCAGTGCTACATTGCAGAATCCAATCGAAGTGAAACAGCGATAATTCAATCAATTAATCGCTCAAATGATTGATCAGTGAGTTTTACAAGCAATTAGCAAAACATAAGATGGTTAAAAAAATGTTTTAGACATTGCACACCAAAACAGTGGAATAAGACTAAATTTCTATTGGGTGGATAAAGTACTGAAGTCAGTAGTTTCTAAAAAAAAAAAAAAAAAAGCCACTGATCAATAGCATTGATCCCTTAAAACCAACAACAGTACACTGTTGACAAAACAATATGGCCACTGTGGTGTGTACTGATCAGACTTTAACAGACAGTGAAGGAGGATGTTTAAATATCACTGAGCAGCAGAGTCAAAACTAAAAGGTGGACAACAAAGAAAACCTGCAGGTTTTTATTGGCACAGTAGCAGGGCGCCATCTTGTGGCTGCACCTTTAAACACCAGCCTGGCTTTGGCACGTCATGAGCACTGTACCATTTAAAATTCAGCAAATAAATATATTTAATGTAATGAAAATTTCCAGTTCGATACAAAAACCAATAAAGTGTAAAACTAATGCGTCCATAGAAACTTTTGTTGGCAGAAAATGCTGCTCAGAATAACACAGCTTACCTTGTTTTTTGTCAATAACGACAAAAAGGAAATGTCAGCATTTCAATAAGTACTTTTCTGCATCCCCCCTCCCTTTTCAGTTTACTTATCTACGACATGTATTATTTTCCATGCTGCTAAAATAATTGTGACACCAGTTAAACGAGCTTTCTGGTGGATTTGGTGCCTTCATTAGCTGTGTGTCGGTGGGAGTACGAACACTTGTGTAAACAGCCTGTGCAGCTCTATGAAAGGAAAATCGGCGGGAGGGTGAAACATTTGTGGGAAACCAGCAGGCTAGAAGAGATGCGTTCCATTACGGTCGGAAATGTAGGAATTAAGAGACAACACTACGAGACAGTGAAGGAACGGGATTATATTATGCCTGCCAAGTTGATGTAATGCTGTGCTTTGTGGGGGGAAACCCCCAAACTAAATTTCTGTAAAGGTTTCGATTGTATTTGTGGCTTTCTTAAGCATAAACGTTTGACTAGTACATTACTAGCTTCCTTTTCTAAACAGAACGAGGGTGGTGAATTATGAGCTTGCGAGGAGTCCGTGAACGCAGCTCGGCCCTCTCCTGGTCAGACGCGGTAGTGCAGCCGCGGCTCCGCGCTGGGACTGGTCCTTTCGCAGCCATTTTCTGTCCAACCAAACAGCCGTCTCAGGAAGGTAACCAACCAGGGCTTCATTGCAGGTTTGTGCCTGGCTCCGGCCAATGATTGCTAACCGATTTCTCGTTAGCTCGAATGGAAATGTCCGTCTCTGTCTGATTTTTTATTTGTTGTCTGAGTGTGGGCTGCTCATCAGGAAGTATCCAGCGGGCGAAAGTTTAAAAAATACCATTTAACATTTCGGCCCCGGCCACGTCTTGCTCCGCTTCGTGCGACAAAGAACAGGCCGGCGCTGAGGCGAATAACAGCGGATCCACAATGAGGGTTTATTCAAGGGAAACTGTGCGCCTGAATATGTTAACTACGCAAGGTAACAGCCCGCTGGACAGCCTTTCTTCATTATAGTGAAATCAGAAGTTTTCTGGAGACCTACGAGCCGACCAGCTAACCCCATTCTTCGGTTAACATTAGCTAACGTTAGCTAAACATCACTTACCCGCGGCTGGCTCTGCTAGTTAGCATTCGGTAGCCAAACACACGTCCGTACACTTAGCGTGTGGCTAACGTAAACTGACCTCAGCGCGGGTTTACAGCCGGATGCCCGCCACGGTTTTTCTATTTAAGCTACTGTCCTAACCGCAGTAATTCAACTAGCTAGCCGTGTGGTGCCAAATTCAGATTTACCCACAATGTACAAACACGATAAAAATGTGTGTACTGTGGAGGAGGCTGCTCGTGTTTTCCGCTCTTTGTAGTCCACCTCTGAAGATATATCCTCTTAGAAAAGGGAAGGCGACTCAACAGAGCTGTTTAGTCATTAATGTGGACACACGACTGTAAAGCAGTTGAATGTACCGAGGACCCGATGCCGAGTCTGTGAGCTGCAGGACGTCCTCAGACCGCACACATAACGGATAGCCTCTCAGCTCAAACACACACTGACGATGTGAGAGTCACTGGTTACAGCCACCAGTCAGTTAGTGTTTGTTGGCATGTCCGAGTTGTTTACTGGCATTCACGTAATTCGAAAACCAAGCAGATGCCCTCCAGTGTTGACTGGAGGCTGTCTGACAGGTTAAACCTCCATGTCCATCCCAGTGCTCATGTCTGACATGTTACTGGGTCTGATAGGTGGGAAGCCTTTGTATGAAGATCTGATTTACCAAAGGTGGCTGCAAACACAACCTCTGCAGGCTCACTGAGGCTGTGATCACTTCTTAACCAGAGTGGCGTGGCAGAGCAACGTCCACTCCAACCTGCATGAAACTGATTTTACATGAAGTTAATATCGTCTGTCCTCATCTGCCAGGAATCACTGACAGCAATGACCGGACTAACAAACTCACAGCTCCATTAAATGTTGATCAGTTTATTATCTAATACAGGGGTGTTCAATCCTGGTCCTGGAGGGCCACAGTCCTGCATGTTTTAGATGTTTCCCTCTCATTCAAATGATCAGGATCGTTATCAGGCTTCTGCAGAGCTTGATGATGAGCTGATCATTTGAATCAGGTGGAAGAGGGACACATCTAAAACATGCAGGACTGTGGCCCTCCAGGACCACAATTGGGCACCCCTCATCTAACATGAGTAAGAAAATGAATAAATCCTCTTGCTGCATTACTTTGAATTTCTGCATCTGCTCAGTAACGTTGTTTGACATTGAACTTGATTTTCTTGCTGGCAGTGAGAAGTGCAGCGACTTCAGCAAACACTAGAGTCACTTAAAGTCTTTCAGAGTGAGGGCCATGTAGAGTCTAATTTTCAGGTTTGGGTTGTATTTTGATGTTGCTGCTAAGTGACCCAGATGCACATGACTCACAGAAATACCAGGACCATAAGAGCAGTGGAACAGCAGTCCCAAAGTATCAATTAAATTATTATAGTAGTCAAATTCACTTCACATTTAATCTATAAACCTACGAAGGGCCTGTTAAAAATCCTGATTCTTTGCTTTAACAACAAGGTACAACTCTTGGTCAAACTGAGCTACTGTAGGACAAAATAAGATAAACAGTCTTATTTGCATAAGTAGCTTGTCAGCCACCTGTGACTGTTACTTTCTCTACTGTTTTGTACTTCCCCGCATCAGAGTTGTGTATCTAGGTCAGCCTGTCAGCCGTTTTCAGAGTAGAATCCACCGCGTAGCTCCAGAGACACAAAGACAGTCTGTCGTTATTTACTTCATTCTATGGTTCAGAGCTTAGTAAAACAGCATGTCATTGAATCCCAAAGGAGAACATCTCCTTGAGGAGCGTGTGTGCAGGAAGCTTTGTAAATAACTTCTCAAGTCATGCCTGTTTCCACGAAGTGATTCAGAGATGCTTGGCACGTTCAGATTTTGCAGGTGTGCTGTATTGCTACAGCTCCAGATGTTGAAATGGGACTGTGTGTGTTGCAGATGGACGGAGACAGCTCAACCACCGACGCCTCCCAGCTGGGCATCACTGGAGAGTACATGGCTTCCAGTCACTATGTCCTCCAGTCTCAAGACGGTGAGGAGAACAATGTTACCAAGCAATCTGTTAGGGACGGGGACCAAAACCCAGAATTCAACGTATAGATTTCATGTTTAGTTTTGTTACATAAACTGTATTTTGCATGTTTTCTTTCACCAACTCTGTTTTTAATTTGTGTTGCATTTTCACTTTACCAAACCAGACGACCGTGTTGTCTCTGAGCCTGTGTGTGATCACACACACTGTAGCACTGTTTCACACCCCCACACACCCACACACTCTGCTCTTAGTGGAAGTGGACAGAGAGTTAAACATCCAGAAGTGCTGGTTGTCACAAGTGTAACAAGCATGTAAGAGCAGAAACACGGTCAGTCTGTCAAAAAAATATTCAGTAGAAGTTCACCACATCCAAAGCAATGCACAGTTTGACTGCCAAGCTTGTGGTTCATCTGTCATTAACCCAGATATGTGATATATGCTGGCAGCCTGGAGCCCTCCCACAGAGTACAGTCAGCCTGAACTGGATTGTCATTGAAACCATTGTTGAGAAACTCAGTTTTCAAAGCAGGACAATGTTGAGATTTGTGGGCTGCAGTCAAACTGTCTTACTTTATGTTCACCCTTTCTTTATTTGAATGTTGGCGTTGGCAATGATAGACGTAAAAAGCATGCTAATTATTGTTAAATCCAAATATTAATACCACACAGTTATAAAATGCTGTTAAAAAGCCTGCATTCATTTTGTACCGAAAAGTAAATAATGAGAGAGCAGAAATTTTAAAAGACAAAAATTTCTTTCCATTGTTGATTTGTTGTATTTTTGTGTGTTAAAAAACTAAAAGCTAGAACGTATAAGAGTGATGTTGATGTACCGGATCAGTCAGCAGTGTTGGTAGCAGAAGGAGCAGTGGAGCTGATTCTATCGGTGTGTTTGCAGATGATGGAGACGAGAATCTGAATGACCACGAAGACGGCGGCATCAAGGAGAACTACAGGGAGCAGGACATCTATCT